TATTCATCATAAAATTTAGCATTCACAAAAATTTCATTGCATTTGAAAACAATCCATGTTAGATTTTCCTGGGTCTGTATGAGGACTGCTGAGAACATTATAGAAAATCTAAAATCAAAGAAGTTACTTACAGACCATTACTTTCAAAAGGAAAAATTACTGGAGAACCAGGAAAAACTTTAAAAATAAAAATGACATTTCACGTGGGATGAACATGCATTTTAAGATGTTTAAGATGATATGGAGCAGGGCCCTCCAACTAGAAAAGTTGAGAGCTTACAAAGGACCTAAGCCAGCCAGACCAGTTAGGCGGTGAGCCCCCTGTGCCTGGGAGGTAGTACCACAGAGACTGCACGGCCAGAGTTTCGTGGAGAAGTAAGCATCTTCCTGTGCTGGGTGGTGGAGCGGGAATCAGCCCCTAATGAGTTTGTGACCCTGGACGAATGGTGCCCCTCTCTGGGCCTCAAGGTTCTTTAACAGAACCAAAAAATAAACAAATATGCAAAAATCCTTTAAGCTCCCTTATATCTCTAAAAATTCTTTCTGCAGATGTGGGACTGCACGATCTCTCTCCGTCCTTGAGACTCTCAAATTCTATGCATCGTCCCCTGAGCTTTGATTCCAGGAGCTATTTATTTTGAGCATCAGGTTCTGCACAGCCCGTAATCAAGGATTCAACTCTCGCACTGCTGGTGTCTCCTCTGAAGAGGAAGTAGACCAGTCGGGTTTTGTGAGCTGGCATCTCCCCTGCTTTAAACATAATTGAGGCCCTGCCCTGGGGAAGGGGTAGGGAGAAAGAGAGGCGTTCACTCTAATCCATTAGTATACTGGTTTGTAGTTCTTGCCTTTAAGAATTACATCAAAGGCGGGGATGCATGAAGAAAAGATATTTTGCTAAGGTGAAGGAAGTATTAGCATTCTACAGTTGCCATAACAAATTACCATAAGCTGTGTGGCTTAAAACAATGGATGTTATTCTCTCACCATTCTGGAGGCCAGACGTCTGAAATCAAGGTGTCAGCTGGGCCACAGACTCTCCAGAAGCTCTAGGGGTGAATGCCCTTTGCCCTGTCAGCTTCTGGTGGCTCCAGGTGTTCTTTGGTTTGTGGCTGCATCACTCCAACTTCTGCCCCTGGCTTCTCCTCTCCATCTTTCATGAGGACCCTTGTCACTGGATTGAGAGTGTTCTCAGGTAATCCAGGATGGCCTCATCTAGAGATCCTTACAACATTACATCTGCAAAGACCTTTTTTCCAAGTAAGGTCACATTCTCAGGTTTTTGGAATTAGGACACAGACATATCTTTTCGGGGGGCTACCATTCAACCCCACTGCAGGCGGCATGACTGATGGATCCTGGCTCCTGGCCTAGCTCTGGGGTGCTTTGGGTGATGGTGGATAGGGAGGGTACCGCTAACAGTGTCAGGGAGAGGAAAGGATGGGAAGAGTGAGGAGTGGGCACATGACCCCTGCTGACAGTGGCTGGTGCTGTCATCAGTAGCCCTGCAGGTTAGCGAGGGCCATTTTGAGCACCCACCTCTCTTTCTTTCCAAAGGAGGATGCTGTCTCAGTAAGTTAGGCTTGGCTCTGCTGCAGTCACAAACAGCTCCAAAATCTCCACGGCTTACAACACCAAACATTTTTCTGGCACTAGCCTCAGGTCTATGACAGGTTGACCACAGGATCTCTCCAGGTCACCTTCACTCTGGGACCAGGCCGATGGAGTGGTAGATTTGGAATATGGCCAGTCTGTGGCAGAAGGAGAAGAGTACACGGTAAACTTTGCGCTAGCTCTTGAATCTTCTGCTTGGCAGTGATGGATGTCACTTCTCATTTCACTGCCCACGGCAAGTCACACGGCTAAGTCTGATGTCAGTGAGGAGGAGACATATCATCCTTTCCCAGGGAGGGGCAGTGAATATTTATGAACCACAGGAAGGCAGGCCACAGGTGCTGTAGGAAGCGCCTCTCCGTCTGTTGAGAAGCTGCATAGCTTCCTCTACCACTCCCCATACAGGGAATATTGCTGCTCATCCAGGCTTTCTCGAAACTCTTAGCATTCACTCCTCCAAGGACTGTACTGTCCACATGTTCTGACTACAACCTACTCTTTTTTTTTTTTTTTGAGGAAGATTAGCCCTGAGCTAACATCTGCTGCCAATCCTCCTCTTTTTGCTGAGGAAGACTGGCCCTGAGCTAACATCCGTGCCCATCTTCCTCTGCTTTATATGTGGGATGCCTGCCATAGCATGGCTTGCCAAGCGGTGTGTACGTCTGCACCTGGGATCCAAACCGGCAAACCCTGGGTGGCCGAAGTAAAACGTGGGAACTTAACTGCTGCGCCACGAGGCCAGCCCCACAATTACTGTTTATCTATACTGTCGAGGCCTCCCATCCCTCCTCATCCCTGTCTCCCAGGAAGAAACCATCAAATTGCAGTTTCATGCCCTTGTCCAGAAGAGCTGCTGCTGGGACTGTGCTTTCCAAACATAACCGACACAGAGTGTTTACTGCATGGTCACTTTCATAGCAAACACAGGAAGAGCACTCTGCCCCTTCCTCTGTTCGCAGAGGCTCTGAGAAATGGTCAAGGGCTTGGCCCTGAAGCCGCAGATGGAATCGTCTGTGGATCCCAACAGTCTTCCACAATTAAGGCAGAAGAGGCCTTAGAGAGGTGGAGGGCAGCTCCCGTGAATGCAGAGGTCCACAGAGGAACTGCCAGGCTTCTGTAAAGCCCCTAAATTGTAAGTAAAATAGTGTGAAAGTATGTGTTCAGTGCATATGTATTTTCTGGGGTCAGGAGCCATAGCTTACATCTGACTCTCCAAGAATCTGTGAACCCAGGAAGGTGAAGGGCCACAGAATCTAACCCAATCCTATCGTTGTACTGGTGATACAGAAACTGAAGTTTGGTTCCTGACACCAGATGGATTGACTCTACGTAATGTATTAGCTAATAACTTCATCAAAAGCTTTTCCCTAGACCTTGGTTTCGTTTCAATGAGTAATTTCTCTAATATTACAACCTACTCTGGGAGAAAGGAAGACTCTTTGGAAGGTTACATTGACTTTTAAAGCCACAAGGGTGTCATTTGGTGCATTCCTACCCAGGCAATTATTACCCTTTGAGTGCCTGAAGAGCTCCCTCCTGCCTTCCCTTTGGTCTCCACAGGGACTCATTCTGTTTCTACCAGGCCAGTGTGAAACGTACAGCACTGGCTTACCAGAAGGGTTTACTTCGGGAATTTCACAGACAGGGCTGCTTCCGTCTTGCAAGGAAATTTGCATCCCATGATGCAGAATAGAGAATGACTATGGAAGACGATGGCAATAGGATTGCGTCAATATTACATGTCTGCCAGGCAGACAACAAATAGGTTTTAATAGCACAGGTCTGTTCATCCTCCTCTTCCTCCTCCATGAAGCTGGTTGGAGGTGAGTAGTATTTCCTTTTCACAGATAAGGAAATAGAGGGTCATTATTTTATTAGCCTCTGAGCAGAGATTCTTAACAGGGTCCCTGGATGGAGCTTTAGGGGTCTGTGAACCTGTGAAATGATTTGCAAAGACAAGTATGTACTTGTATGTGTATTTGGGGAGAGGGCAGAGGAGCATGTGATTTTCATCAGGTTCTACAAAGTTCTGTGACTGCATCTTATAGAATAACTGGCAGATTAGCCCAATCTTGACGTTCAGCTCTATCTTTTTTGATAGGTTCTGTCCTTTTTTTCCTTGGTTGCTGACCTCCACACAGCAGACAAAATTGAAAGCAAGAACAATTTTGTGGAGGAGTCACGTTTAGATGTTTCCCTTACCTATCTCTGTTCTGGAAAGTTTACAATCTTTTACTCCCGATGGTCCCACGTATGTTAGAGTCCCAGTATGAGGGGAAAGAAACCTTAACAATCACCAGGATTCATGGATGGGAAAACTGAGGCCTAGAGAGTCAGTCGCATTCACATGATAAATCAGTGATGGACTTAGTGTTCATTCCTTTTTGAGAAATCAACTCCAAACTCAGAGGGGAACCTCTTGCCAATATTTCTTAACAAATGACAATTCAGTGTGACTCATTTTTCTTGACAGCATGCAAATGAAGGAAACAAGACTGAGCGGCCTTCTGTCCAGAAAGCAGGAAATGAAGCCTGTCTGGGACCACATATTCCCTTGGGACACGTCGTAGTGTCAGAAATGGGTTCTGGAAGAAGCTGGCCTTTGTTCATTTCTGTTTCGTGAGTGAGCTCCTCCTCTTGGCCCTGGCTGGAGGGGTGGCTTCCCACCCACATTCCCCAGGAGTGTTAAACCAAAGAGAAGCTCATCAGGACTCCAGTCAGGCTCTGCTATCTCTAGAGCCGCCATCAGAAGCGCCCGCCCTCCTCAGCCTTGCTTTCCACTGACAGAAACGTTGACTTTTCCAGATGAGATGTTCTGAGCCAACCAGTTGCTCTCACATGAAGCAGAACCACAGTCATGAGGAGGCAGCTTATCCTCGGGCCCTAAGAGGCCGGAGCTGATGCTGTTGCACTTGGCTGGATTGATGTTTAAATGTCCTCTGCCTCACAGGCAGCCTTCCCTCCGGCCGGAGGGACCCTGGATCTCTGTAACCTCTGTGAGGGGTAAAGTCTACTGTTAATCTCACTAACGAGGGGTCTGTTTCACAAACCGGCCAAGCCCTGGTTTCTTCCAAGGAGACATAACAGTGTTTTCTGCAGAGGGGCCTGTGATAAGATATCTCAGAAATGGAGTGATTTAGGGCTAGCCCGGTGGCGCAGCAAAGTTCACACGTTCTGCTTCGGTGGCCTGGGGTTCGCTGGGTTTGGATCCCAGGTGCATAGGGCACAGCTTGGCAAGCCATGCTGTCTCAGGCATTCCACATATAAAATAGAAGATGATGGACACTGATGTTAGCTCAGGGCCAGGCTTCCTCAGCAAAAAGAGGAGGATTGGCGGCAGATGTTACCTCAGGGCCAATCTTCCTCAAAAAAGAAAAGAAAAAGAAATGAGGTGATTTATAAAAAGGATGTTATTTCCTACAGAGTAGGAAGCTGGAAGATCCTTTTAGATATTATTTACTCATTAGACAGACCGATAAAGAAACTAAAGCCCAGAGCAGGGCAGTAGCTGCTGGAGGGCCCAGAGCCACGTGGTAGGAGAGCTGGGAGAGAGGCCTGGGTACTGAGCGAGCTGCTGTGTTTGGGCTGCTCTGCACATCCCCGTGTTTCTGTATTCCTCCATGCTCACGGAGTCTTCCTCAGACTTCAGTCTCCAGATGTGCCATAGTTTAATTTGGGGGTCCTCAAGTCAAAATTTCAAGAACTGAAGAATACGGATCATGAGACCTGCTGAATAACATCGAAGGAACTTCTGAACACGCCACCATTTAAGCGGAGAGGGTCCCTCCCTTCCGCTGCAATCAGGCTATTACAGGCTCGCTCTGCCTCTTACCCGCTGGGCGCAGGCCAAGCCCAGAGCCCGGAGCTCCTACTATGACTTGGCCGAGCAGCAAGCTATTCATCCACACGTCCAAGGCCACTTTTGTGCGAACAGCTTCGCATCACCTGCCCCTGGAGACTTCGGATCACCCCTCTGCTCCCCCGCCCTCCCCTGCTCCAGCCCCTCTCTGGCTGTGCAGGAGCCAAAGGGGATTTGTGATAACAGAGTCACAGGCACAGGCCCAACCCAGGCCCGAGGAGCTTGACCTGAGGCAAGAGCATAGCCCAGAACAACACACGCCACTCCCCAGCAAGGAGGGGTGGCCTGGCACTCAAATCGAAAACTCCTGGGCTTTTGATGGAAGCCATAAAACAAAGGTGAGGGGTTTCTGGGTGGGGGAAGAATGCATGATTATTTATGGCTCTGGTCTGGAGAGGAGGAGAGCAGGGAACTCTTTCCAACTTGGCGCGTGATTCATGTCCCCCGGGAGCCGCAGAGCCGCGGCGGGCGTGCGCGCCGGCAGCCCCGGGCCAGCCGCACGCCCGGCGCTCGTTTATTTATGGTGGCTTATCAGCGGCTGTGCACGGCGATAAAGTTTATGAAAAGAGGCGGCGTCGCCGGCAGGCGGGCCGGCCGCGCTCCTTTCCCACACTGATTAGGATCAGCCAGGGCTCTGGGAGCTGCAGTTAAGGATCTCGGGTGCCCGGAGCCGCGTCGCCCCCTTCCTGCCCCGCCCGCCGGCTGGCCGGCCGCTGCCCCGCGTGGGAGCCGAGGTCAGGGCTGCGGCCGGCCGTTCCGGGAGGGGCTAGGAGGGACCGCCCCGCGGGGGAGGGAGGGCGGCCCCGGAAGCCGGGAAGGAAGAGAAAAATGCCCTTCCAAGAAAAATCCGCAGTCCCCTTGTTAGGTGGAAAGGGGTGATGGGAATTTTTCTCCTTTGAAGATGTGGCGAATTCGCATCCTCTGCCTTGACTTTTCGGCATTCCTTTCCCATCGTTGCATCTTCATTGCTTTCTCGTTGCCTTCGGACTCGACTCATTTTTTTTTCCTTGTCATGACCACGTTTTGTTTGTCCCTTCAGAGGATAGTAATTAAACCCCTACCTTGCCATGGGACACCTGTGAGCGCTGCAGAGAGAGAGATTCAGAGAGGAAGAGCCCGTGGTCCTGGCTCTCAAGGTTCTCAAGGTCATAAGGACAGACAGTCAAGTATAGAGTGACAGCAGCCCGGGGTTCTGAGTAAGCGGGAGCAGACATGGGGCTGGCGCTGCGCTGATGCTTTGGGGGCATTAATTTGTTTAATGCTCATAGCCACTTGAGGAGAGAGGTGCCATTATTATGCCATTTTACAGATGGTGAAACTAAGGCCCAGACAGGGTAAGTGACTTGCCTAAGAGGACTCAGAGAGTCAGTGGCTGAGCCAGGCTTTGAACCCAGGCAGAATGCCACAGAGCCTGTGCACCTAACCGCTAAATTTCCCTGACTCTCTAGACAGACAGTGAGCTGAGGGCGTGCAGCAGCCAGGACAGCTAATCCTGCAAGGCAAAGTCGATGTGGGCTTTCTGGGGGCGGGGGGCGGGGTGGAGACGCGTTATTCTGGTTGGGGCTTGAAGGGTCGGCATTCACAAGACAGACATGATGGTAAGAGGAAGGCAGTTTTACACTGTGGTCCTGGGTTCTCAGGGCGTGGCTCCTTTCACCTTCTGGTCTGCATTCTTTCTCCAAGGACTGAGAGAGCAGAAGTGCAGAGCCTTTATATGGTGTGAAAACGGGATCGCCTTCTTTAATCTGGAAGGTTCTATCTGCAGCTACTGAAATCCCACCAGCTCTCAAGTCTTAGCAATGGTCATCACCTCCTGGAAGCTTTCTGGACTGCCCCTTATCTCCCTGCCAATGACGACAGCAATCCTTTCGTCTCCTCTCCTCTCTTGCACTTGCCTGTACACATGGAAGCTCTTGGGTTGGGTTTCCATCTGTCTTGATTACTAGTTGGTGGGTTCCTGGAGGGCACTGGTGGACTCCCTCCTCCTTACCCACTTCTGTCTCAGGCCTCGTTTAATATCCTGCCCATAGGAGGTCCTTAGTGACGGCGCTCGGTGAATAAATATGGGAGATCCAGAAAGCTTCTGATCTCATAGGGGCCTCATTTACTCCTTGATGGATTTCATAATCAAGCAAGCTAAAAATGGAGACGACGTGTCCCCATCAGAGAAGGTCTGGACCACCCTCTGCCAGGAGAACACAAAAGCAGAGTTACCCAAGCTCAGAGTCCCCTATAATCCCTCCAGACTGGGAGCAGGATTAGTCCTGAGGCCCGGGTGTAGCAGGAAGTCTTGTGGCCCCAGTTATGGGGAAGGGCTGTGAGGGCTGGGAGCCAGGCAGATCGTTGCATAATCCTTCTTGATTTCAGTGAAGCTTTTCCTAGGGCCACTGGCGTGGTGTGGACATTTGACTCCAAAGGGTATGGTGTCAACTATGAGCACCTGTCAGCGCCACTGCTCAGGGGGTCAGGGCGGTGTCTTGTGTTTTGTTGTGTTTTTTGTTTGTTTAGAGCTAGCTTTTAAAAAATTTAATTGGAAAAGTAGTACATGCACATGATTTAAAAATTAAAATGGGGACCGGCCCCATGGCGTGATGGTTAAGTTCATGTGCTCTGGTTCAGTGGTTCACCAGTTCGGATCCCAGGCATGGACCTATGCAAAGCTCATCAAGCCATGCTGTGGTGGTGTCCCACATACAAAATAGAGGAAAATTGGCACAGATGTTAACTCAGGGCCACTTTTCCTCAGCAGAAAAAATTAAATTAATTAAAAATTAAAATTAATTAAAATGAGTCAAAAGGATATACAATGAAAATTCTATCCCCCACTGTAGACTCCTTAACTCATCCTCTCCCTCCTCAAGGGCAGCCATCAAGAGTTTCTCTTCCCAGAAATGCTATATACACATATATACAATATTTTTGTGTTTCTTATCATGACCTAATGAGGTGGCTGTGAACAGACTCAACGCGTTTGCACGTGATGGTGATGTTGTTATGGTTGTTGGTGCTCTGGAAAAGAGGGTTAAGGTTTATTGACCTTGAGAACTAGAGAAGTTGTCTTGCACATTCTGAATAACGTTTAGTAATAAAAACTGTTTAGTAATAAAATCTGGATATCTCAAATACTACCTGGAAAAAGACTGATCTGGTCCAAGGGTAGTGGAAACAGGATCTGCGAAGGCAGAGTTGGCCACAGATTTGATCTGGATAGGAAATGCTGCCAGGGAGGTTCATGAGTATAACTGGTAGAGCTCAGCAGATTATTTGTTGGGTAGACTCATTAAAGTATTTATAAATGTCCTGTTATTTGTTGGTTACTCTGTTATACACTGGAAGGAGGGAGAGTCATAGAGGTGAAAAAGATAACTTATAATTGAATAAGAAGAACCCAAATACATTCACCTGATGTTACAATAAAGGGTGCCCTCAATAGACTGGTTGATGGAACTGGCATCATTTAATCTAGACAAGAAAAGGACAAAAGGTGACTTAATTATTTAAAGTGCATGGAAAAGTGAGCTAGGTGTCCCTAGGTCTCCCCACCTGAGTACAGATGACTTCTTAGTGGCACTATACCCTAAGGCTGTCTGTAGCAAAGGATTTCCAGACCTCTGCACAGCCTCTCTGAGTTGTCCTCGGACCCCCCTGGGGCTGTTCCTGCTCACCACTCTAGTTACCCCTGGGCACCGCTAGGTGCTCTGGAACCAAAGCTCTGGGGAATGAGAAGAAGGTTCTTTGCTCCCTTCCCTATGTGTGATCTTCCAGCTGTGCGGTCCCAAAGTTCTTCTGTCTGCACTCTGGTTTCCCGCAAAACTCCAACTCAATGGTCTTTTCAGTTTTCCTTATGGTCCTGCTGCTCTTGATAGGACTCAGATATGAATCCAAAGTCTGTTTGGCCAAGGGATACTCACAATTAATTGTTTATCTCCTCCAATGAACAGGACTGTCTTCCTGGCTCCCCCCGGGCCTCTCAGATCTCCTTTCCCGCAGAACGAACTCCCTCCCAGGAGGCTCCTCGGCCTCTCACACAGTTGTCAGACATGCTCAGACACGTCAGACTCCAGCTTAGGTTCAAACCAGGACCTCAGTGCCCCCTAATAATAACTAGCAAGGGCTCAGTTGTCTTGATGAAAGATTCTGATCAATTGTTCCATAAGGAAGGCCAAACAAGAGGCTGTGGATATTAACGAAAGCAGGAAAGATTTTAGTGAGTGAAAAGGATTTCTTAGATCAGGATGATAAGGAAAGTTATTTTCCTCTCCCCAGGAAAAAGTCTGCCATCTGTCTTGAATAGTTCAGGAATCGGAGTCCTAGTTCTTGCCAAGCTGAGCCCTTGGTATTCCAGAGGGGGACTGAGATGTCCCACCTTTAAAATCCAATAGTAGTGGCCTTTGCCCTAGGTCAGGTAATGCAATTTTTCCATGTAAATTTTTTTCCATACCTTTTTCTTAAGTCTTAAACCTTTAGCACCTGCAGGCAACAAAACTAATGAACAAGTAGTAAACAGATATGAGTGGGGAAGCTTGAAAACCACCGATCGTGCTGGGTTTGTTGCTTTTTTTAAAGAACATGTGTGCTTGTGGTTTTATACTGCCTGCCCATAATGTAGCCATATTTTCTGCTATTAAACTTGTTCCTACTTCATGGATAGAATGAAACAGACCATTATTCCAGGGTGTTCCTGGAAGAGCCTCATGTTTCAGGAAACTCACCACGACTGTTAGTTTTCTACCGCTTGAGTACAGCCATGTGCCACGTAACGACGTTTCAGTCAACGATAGACCTCCTATATGATGACGCTCCCCTGCGATTAGTACCATACAGCCTAGGTGTGTAGTAGGCTATCCCATCTAGGTTTGTGTAAGTATACCCTGTGATCTTCGCACAACGATGCAATCGCCGAATGCCACATTTCTCAGGATGTGTCCCCGTCGTGAAGCCACATATGACTGTACACTTGAGCACCATTCTTGCAGACTCTCAAGTATTAGTTTCCTTTCCTCCTTCCCCCCCTCCCTCTGCTGTCTCACATCATGGCCCAGACTGACTCCCAGCCTCTGCCAGGCTGAAGATAACCTCTCTGTCTGGCATATCACCCATGGGCTAAATTTATTCTCAGGGGTGAGCTGGGGCTACTCTGACCAGTGACTCCAGGCAAGCATTTGAGCACCCATATCTTGGGAAGTGGAGGGGACCTACAGGGAGGAATGAAAGATGCAGAGAGAGATTGACAGGAAGCTGGCAAAGGGGCTTTGGAGAAATAGTCATGATACACAGTGACTATAGCATAAGTTGAAACAGCCTGAAGGATTTGACTGCTCCCAGCAAAGATTCCTTTTCTGTCAGTTATAATGTTACTGTAATACAACCCCCAAAGGGAAACGCTCAGTGCTAATCAGGGCTCAAGAAGTCAGTGGACTTGATGTACAGAATGGGGTGTTTCATTTTATGATGTGGCTATGGGTTACATAAGAGACTAATAAAAGAACTCCATAAAATGTGGCTTGGAACAGTGGGGTTGCAGCCTCTGCCAGAGGGTCAGCCTGCTCAGAAGTGGTTGTAGAGCAGGGCTGATGTCTAGCTGGTGTGCGCTTGTATGTGTTCTGGTTCTTAAACTACTGAAAGCCTTCTGTACCAGTTGTCAAGAGGCTGCCGCTCTTAGCTTTCTAAGCACTCTCCTGCTGCCGTGACTGCCCCTACTCCAGGACCTCCCCAGGATCCAGCGACCAAATGCAGAAAGCCTGAAAGTCCTGTTCTATGCCATGTCTCCAGTGCCACCTTGTTTCTGAGTGGCTGGTGCCCATGCAGTATCAGTTGTTAAGTACTTAAAACATCACCCGTCTTACAGCATGTCTTCCTGGGGATTGGGCCCGTCAGATACCTGTGGAGCAGAATAGGGACACAGTTTCATAAGATTGTTATTTCGGATTCCGGGCCAGTCCAGGATGCCCAAAAGAGGCTTTCTTAAGGGGTGCCTGTCACTCTCCTGGTGGCTGCAAGGACACACCCAACCGTTCCCTTGAATCATATTTGGTTACCTCAAAGGAGAGTTTTAATAGACCCAGGGACGACTTCAGGATTGAAGAGTATATTTGGAAGAAACAGACAAATTTGCGTAAGGTTTCCCAACCAGGAATTGCATTTGCCATAGAATTTGTATTAGAAGGATACTTAGAAGACATCGGGTCTCTCTTCCCAGCCAGCACAGACTCCTTCTGAATCACCCGCCAACGGGGGATAGCCAACCCTTCTAGGTCATGTCTACTGAAAGGGAACTCAGCTCTTTGAAAGAAGCCTTCTGTGTGAACCAGCAGGAGCTGAAATCTTCCTAAACAAATCAAAGTGTGAACTCCTTTTGTTGAATTGCAATCTTCTTACACATCTCAAATTTTGTTCCCTCACTTAGATGGAATTGCAAGCCAAAGATGGCTCCAAAGCAAGCAATGTCATCTACTAACATGTCCTTTAGTACCAAGTAAGCTGAGAGGGCCTACAATCATTCATTCATTCAGCCAATGTTTGTTGAGTGGCCCCCAGGTGCCGGGCAGTGTGCCTGGTGCTGGAGATTCAGCACTGAGCTGAAGGTGGTCTTGCTCTGAAAGACTGCCCAGTCCATTGGGGACCCTCTTTGCAGCTACTCACAGAGCTATTGTCAATTAAGGGACCCACAGAGGTGGCCCTGAGGCCTCAAAGAACAGATAAAAGAAAACAACTCTGCACCTGAGGGCTCAGTGGTCAGAGAGAGGGAGAAGAAGAACGCACCAAACAGCCCCTCGAGGAAATAACACCGCTAGAATAGACAACCCGAGCAGAAGAAACAAGGACGTTCAAACACAGTGCAAAAAAAAAAAAGGACTTCCTGGAACTAAAACGTATTTTTAAGTGAACTACTCATTGGATGAATTAAAGCAGAATATGGGCTTAGCAGATCAAGTGGGAGGATATCCCAAGCACAGAACAAAAGTACAAAGAGATGGAAATCCTGAGGGCAAAATCAGAGACAAGGAGGCTACTGGGAGGAGACCCAAGATGTCAGTAGTCAGAGTTCCAGGAGGAGAAGAAAAGTAAACAGAGGAAGGAGAGTGAATGATTAGACAAGTGACAGAAGTCTTCGTGAGTGAAGACTTGGATTCGAGGTTTAAAAAGAACTCCTGAGTTCCCTGTGTCTGAAAGGCAGGTACCCAAGCCCATCCAGATAAAATTCGTGAGCAGCAGGTGTAAAGAGAGCCGCTTGTCCCATTCGGTACAAAGAGGAAAACGTTAATTACAACGGGAAAGGAAAGAGGTGGGTGTCGCATTTCTCACCTACAATGATGGGAACTTGGACACACCTACAAAATACTAGAGCCAGGCAAAATGCTTCTTGCTGGTTAGGTCAAAAAAAAAAAAAAAATGTTTCACCCAGATACAGAGGCACGTGTCTGATTAAAATACTCTAGAAAGAACCTGAAGCCAAAGAAACAGTCAACAGATAACTCAAGATAGGAGAAGATGAAGAAGAAAGAAGTCAGTGGTGAGCAATCGGGCTTCTCAGTCTCTCTCTGTCTCTGTCTGTCTGTCTGTCTGTCTGTGTCTCTCTTCCTCTTTCACTCTCAGGCAGTTCTAACAGAGGCCTCAGCTGAACCCAAGGGGGATCTTTGGAGCTAGAGTTGTTCTGAATAGAGATAAGTCTGACTTTTTCATCCGAGCCTTGACTAGTAGTTGCATGGAGGGTGCCCCAGGGAAGGGAGCATACCTGGGGGGTGGCCATGCCCTTCAGCTTCAGGCAGTTCCTGGAGAGGGATTCAGCTGTAAGCTGTCAGCAGCCAGCAGTCTTCAGCTGGAGGGAGGTTGTGGGGATACAGGCTGTGTACCCAGCATCCACAAGGCATGCGCGGTGCCGTTTATGTGAAATTATATATACACACTTAGGTATGTATGTGCCGTGGTGTGCTGGGAAATGTTTAACAATTGGCTCTGGGGTGGGAGGAAGCTCTGATTTGTAGCTTCTGTTGATTTCTGTGGTGTAAATACTTCTATCATGGCTGATATCAAACTACTAATGTGATGTCACTGCACACGGAGCTGGGACAAGATGCACACAACTGTCTATCCTGAGCTGGTGCAAGCTGGCTCCTACCCACCACTGTGCGTGCACGAGGAAATTTAGGTGCAGCGTGTGGGCAAGGGGAGAGCATGAGGGGCAGCACTGGCTCCATCTTGTTCGGTGGGAGCACTCTGTCACTGGGAGAATTTCTCTTTGGGCTCATTTTCTCTTTGTTGTCACTTTTCTAACCCTCGCCCCTACAATCCCCTGCCCTTTGACTCCCTTCACCCCAGTAAGTTGGTATTCTTTGCAGGTAGTATTCCAGAAGGAATCTCAGATCCTTGTTCATACTGGAGCCCAAGTGACCATCAAAACAAGAGGCTGCTTCTCCATAGGCAGTTCCGAGGATCAAGGTGAGAGCCATGGAGGGACTGGCAAACCTCTGGGAGGGGCCCGGCGGTGCATATTTTTGGCTTTGTGGGACATATGGTCTCCGTTGCAACTGTGGATGCCCCTCAGGACAGTCTGCCAACTCCTGCTGTGTATGATCCCATTGTATCATAAACCTCCGTGTAAGTGTTAATTATGGCTATTTCAAAGGGCCCAGAGGAAGGAACCCCTTAACTCTACACCTTCAGCGCAAACAATGCAGAGCAGAGACTTAGGCCTCGGGGGAGGTTTTGTGGTTCAGCTGGCTTTGTGAATGTAGCTTTACCCAGGAATGTTCTTTGCACTTCTTTTTCTCCATGATTAAGTCAAGCGAGGAAAAGAGAACTCCTGAATTAAAAAAAAAAAACCCAAAACCCAAAACCAAAACCCCAATTCTACCAACAAACCCTTTTATCTATTAGGTTCCTGTTAATTCTGGATTTGGAAAAACATACCTGGGAAGGAGGCAGGCACTCCCACTGCATTACCTCTGAGAAAGACACAGTAAGTAGATTAACAGCAAACCAGGTCAGGCCGGGGGAGCCTTTATATGGCTAAGAAATTAAACTCTTCGGCTTTCCAGCAAGTGAATTATTTGAATGGTAGTATGAAATCCACAAGTTTTCTATTTGTAAAAATGGCTCATGTAGGACCTTTTTTGGGCATCTGAGGAGCACCCCTAGCATGGGGGTGTAGATACTAAAGCTACAGCTTTCCAAACATATTTGGGGCAAGGCTCTTTTCTCCTAGCTTCAAGTTTTCCATCTTTAAATGAATACTTTAGATTTCTTGGACAGCCTTACAAATCTTTGTGAATTTGTGCTGCCATAGATTTCTAAATGTCATTAAAATGATTAAGCCCCTTACTGAAAAGAAATTCCTTGCCTTCTGACCACTTCTTGCATTGTAACCCCATAAGGTTGACAGCATGAGAGGCCAATTCTGTTTTGGCTTCCAATTTTCTTACAATGTGTGTGTGTGTGTGCGCGCGTGTGCATGCATCTGCGTGGGTGTTTATATTTTGGTGGTGAGAGAGTTATTTTCCAATAGAAAGTCTTTGCCTTATCACTACTTTGTTGATTTCCCCCTCGTAACCAGGAAGCTTAGAGCTGAATTTAGTGTCCAGACAAGCCCGCCCTGGGTATGTTGCAATTATCTTTCGGTGATTCTTCATCTTTTCTGATTCAGAGATTTCTATGGGAATTTGATGGAAACAAGGGGGAATGCCCCAGGAAGCATCCATAGATTCCCACAAAACATGCATAGAGAGTGGATGCTCATCGCTTCTTTTGGAGATCCTCAACTACCATGTTTTATGTTTTATTTGTATTACTTTCTGGTGTCCAAAATGCTGATGTACCTGAGGACTTCGAGACACAGAGGAGATGTGGCCAAGTGTTGGAAGGGTTTGTTCGTTTGTTTGAATGCAAAGGGAAGAGATAGTCAATAGTGTCTGAGGAAGAGCATTTCTCTGGGAACGTGTCACAACTTCATCCTGCAGTCAAGGGGGAAAGTGCTAGACCAAACTGAAGCCCTGGTTTTATCACTAGCCAGTTCTGAACTTAAACCTGTCCTCACTTCAGTGAGCCTCCGTCACCTTAACTGTCACCTGAGAACACTGCACAGGGTGGTGGGAGATTGAGAGACTGGAGAAGTGCTGTCTGCACTGTGAAGTGTGGCGCCGAGAAGAGGATTCAGTCAGGCTGCTTCCTCAGGCTCCTCTGTGATCAGCACTCAGATTAAACCCTGACCTGCAGGGACATGCAGAGGCCATCACCTCACCTTGTGCAGCAATTGCTACTTGCTGATAATGCAACAGTCCCGTGCCTCCGGGAAAAAGAGGAATCTTGAGGAAGGCTCTAAGACTTCTAAGGCTTGAAATGAGCATGTAGAAACTGCCCGGCTAATGAGGCCATGGGCCATTCCTCCGGGGTGCCCACGAGAGATGCTTTTATCTACCACAGATCCTCTCTCTCCCGTCCTCCACACGTGCACACTTAGCCCCCGCTTTGAGCTGCAATGCAAGGACCAGCCCCTCTCAAGGCCTTCCCTGACTGTGTTCTGTTCTTGTCTCTAGGCCACAGGATTCTCGTCCATCTGATTCCAGTAGCATCTACCACTCGTTCTGCTCATCTGTTACTAAAGTTAAATTAAATAGTTTATGGAGTACTCACTATGTGGAAGGCTTTACGCTGATCATAATCCTATAGTGCCTTGATTAATTTTTCCAGATTGTTCATCTCTGTACGTATCATACCCCCAATGGGATCACTTGTGCTGCATGCATCCTTCCTGACATCTAGCACACGGAGTTGAGAGCTAAAGTCCATGTACGAGCTAACCCACTTCCTGCTAGAACTCTGGTATAACACGGGAGTGAGTCGAACACATAATTATTAAAGTTATATGTGCTCAATTTAAAAAGTTGGGAAATATATACAAGTATAAATTTACCCATAATCCTGTCATCCAGAGATAACTGCTTTTAATATTTTGGTCTATTTCATTTTAACCTTCTTTAATCTATGTCTCTATTTACCTAATTTGGAACATTCTGTATTCAAACTTTTATACTCTACATTTTCCCATGCCATTAAAATTTTTGAAAACATAGTTTAAATGGCTGTGTAATACTCCATTATATTGATGAACCATCATTTATTTATCAATTTCCTTATTAGACGTGTAGGCTGCTGTCAATTTTTTCATTATTACAAAAATTATTACAATGAGCAGTTTTTATACATATATCTACACATCTATAAGTCTACATATCTGATTATTTCCCTGTGATGTATTCATGGAATTTAAATTACCATCCAAGGGGTACGGAACTTTTAAAGTTCTTGGTTTGTATTACCAAATTGCTGTCAGAAAGGTTTATGTTTTCTAGTCCCATCAGTGGAGAAGAATGCCTGGTTTATCATTCCTACATTCATTATCTTTTTCAATATTTATAAATTTGATTAGAGTACATGAGTTTTAGTCTTTTACATATTTCTTTAATCATTAATGAGCTCAAACATCTTAATATATTTCTTAGCAACTTTATTTCTTCTCTGAATTATCTGTTTATGTTTTTGACCATTTTAAACAATGGAAGCGTTAGTATTTTTCTGTTGATGTGCTACTCATGCATTATTGAAGGCTTTAAAGGCCATTTTAAAATCACCTGCGTATTTTTTTATGCCACATCATCCATAGCCACCTTAGAAGAAAGACCAGTCCCAGAGGCATAGAGCAGTTCCTTCAAAGATGACCTCAGTTATTTTGGGTTGTTGAATAATTTCTTCCTTGGGTAAAAATGCACGAGAAAATGTGCGTGCAGTTTTTTCGTCAGCACACTTACTTTCTATTAAGTGGATATTTTGTGCTGAAACAGATTCGCAGATCCACCAAACCAGACGATGTTGCTGGCAGAAAAATGTGCACGCTCTGGTGTTTGTGCAAGAATGAGAAGACCTCTGTGGCGCAGTGGCAGGAGGTCAGACCATCCACTGAATTTTCTTTCTTTTCCTTCCTTCCCTCCTCCCTGCCCTCCTTCCTTCTCTTCTTCCTTCCTGTGTCTTTCTTTTTACTTTTTGTAGGTCTAATGTGTCAGGAATGGCTTGACTCGTTAGATGATACATATTTTTCAGAAAGTCTCTATTTTATCTATTTTCCTCAGATAATATAGATTCCTGAAAGCATTGAAAGCATAAAGACTTTTTTTGAAATCCATTCATAAGATGCACAAGAAGAATTCATCATAGAAACTTAAATCAATCTTTAAAAAAAACAGGCTTCGGCAACTCCCTTGAGATGGGGCTTAGCATTATCTTGATTTTACAGATGAGGCTCAGAGAGGTTGAGCAATTTGCTCAAGGTCAACAGCCAGTAAAACAACAGCACCAAACTTGGACCCAGTTCTGCTGATGCCAAAGCGCATACTCCATCTATACCACTCAGCTAGCCTAGTTAGTTATAGTTCTTAATTATGTATGATCAGAAAACCCGTAGCACATGCATGAGGCAGGCCCTGCTGGGGACAGGGCACAGTGGTGGGACATTGGCCAGAGTATTGGACTACCGGGCTAGGAGAGTCAGCAAACTCATAGATGAGAGAGAATCCTTAATGGAGGCCAGAGTGACTGTCTTCCTGACAAAATGGCCAAAGGGGAAATTGGTCACATTGATATAGAAAGGAAATGGTTAGTGAAAGGAATTAGGCAGTTCCTTTCCCTACTGAAAGACTTCAGGAGTTCCACGTGTGTGAGTCTGTTTCAGCGTCATTGTGAAAGGCTGTGGCGTTTCTAGGACTACGAGGAAGAACAATGGGCCCCAGGAAGATGGAAGTGACCCCGGTGAAGCTCTGTCAGTGTGTAGCAATAAGGCCCCAAGAGTCAGGGGAACGAGCTTCAGGTGTGGTGGGACTCGAACAGGAGGAAGGCGTGCCAGTGGATTGACAGGGGAATGGATGCTCCCTGTTTCATATGGCAGCCTCTTTCATGAGGTGTGTGATGAGTTATTTCCATTAACTGAGCTCCCCATCATGACTGCAAACAGTGCTCTCGGGAACCGGGATGTGGATGAGAGGAAGGAGCGCTTTCTGGTGGGGTGGAATAGATCCTCTAAGACGGTGGCTTTCATACTTTTTTGGACTGTGACTCGCAGTGAGGTGTACCTTTTCTATCACAAGCCGGTGACACATACATATGTATGAAACTGAAGCAATATTTCATGATACAATACTTGCCCTTATATGCAAGATACACTCTGATATTTTCTATTCTCTTCTATTTCATTTGAGCAAAAGTGCTGGTACCTCTTGCTAAATTAATTTCTCAGTCCATTAGAGGGTCATGACTTATTGAGTGAAAAATCACTGTTCTGAGTTGCACCGTGTATCAGCAAAACAGAATGTTCACAGAAGGCATCATTTGGGCTCTTAATAGCCATCATCGACAGAAAGTTACATATAGAGTTTTTTCCAAGGAGAAGAGATAAAGTATAGATCTTTTAATTCTGTTTAACCTCTATCCTTCTAGCCTGCAAATAACGTCCACTGTGGTGGATTTGGGATTGTCCAGAATGTGACTGTGTAAGGCTGGGATTGGAAGCCCGTTCTGAATATGTGCCTGAGTACCACGTCAGTTCAGCCGTGCTGAGCCTGAGCGAGGCGTCCTCCCTCACAAGCTTCCCAGGACCCCTTGGCTGTGCACACAAAGAGAAGCCGGCTTTTCTTGTTTGCGCCTTTGCTCCTTCCTATTTGATTGAATTTGAAGAGGAACTGTTTGCCTTTGGCTGCACATCCTGAATCATAATCAGGATGCTGCTGGCACAGAAAACCTGCTCCCACCCTTGCCTGAAATAACTGAACAGGGAAGTCGAGATCCTCCCCTCTCCAAACTTAAAGAAAGAGGCTCATAATTTATGGAGTGCTGGCAAAGCATCAAAAGTCAATCCAGTCACTTACAGTAAAATCAAGGAGGGCGGAACAATGAATATAAAGTGAGATTCAAACACCTCATTAAGGGAACAAAGTGTCCAGTTGACACCAGAATACTGATGCTTACATATTTGTAAGCCAGAGTCCAGTGGCCTTCTGAGAGACTTCCTTGTCCGCGGGATATGAAAGGTATAAAGCCACACCCTCAGCTTTTTCAGTCCTTCAACAAATATGCTTTGCTGAAACCATCTATCAAGCATGGTGCTACTAAGGTATATTGGTTTCTTAGGGCTGCTGACACAAATTACTATAAACTTGGTGGCTTAAAGCAACATAAATTTATTCCCTCATAGTTCCAGAGGCCAGAAGTCTGAAGTCAAGGTGTTGGGAGGGCCAGACTCCCTCTGAAGCCTCTAGAGAACTTGCCTCATTTCTTCCAGCTTCTGGTGGCTCCAGATATTTCTTGGCTTGTGGCTGCATCACTCCTGTCTCTGCCTCTGGCTTGGCGTGACCTCCTCCTCCCTGAGTGTCTGTCTTCGGTGTGTCTCTGAGAAGGGTACTTGTCATTGGATTTAGGGCCCACTTGGACAATCCAGGCTGATCTCATCTGGAGATCCATAATTTAATTGCATTTGTGAAGACCCTTTTTCCAAATATGATCACATTCCTAAGTACTAGGGGTTAGGACTTGGTCATATCTTTTTGGGTGCCACCGTTCAAGATCCAGAGGGTAGAAAGTTGAAAAGGACAGGGTTGTTGTTCTCAAGGAGTTCAGGCTAGTAGGGGAGACAAATAGTTAAATAACTATATCGAAAGAATAACCGCATCCAAAGCTGCGTTCCAGGTGCTGAGGGATCTTAGAAGAGATTGTACTGGGAACTGATGCCGAGGTTGTGGTGGGGCAGAGGTAGGGTGTGTGTTTTTTTTTTAACCTTTGAACTCTACAATTTCCTGGCATCTAGAAATCACTATAGAACGTCATCAGGTTGAAAAGACAAGTCCAGTTTGAATAGTGAGGATTAACACCGGCCCGGCCAGATCTGTTGGGTCTGGCTGAGTTCAGCTAACCCTTTTGGTTGCCTCGAGGTTTTGGAGAGTCGGCAGGAAAAGGCGAGAAAGCCGAAGCCCATGAATTGGTTGAGATTTTTGATGGCTATATTTCTGAGAGGTGAAGAGCTGGATGCCATGAAATGGGTCATTGGCTTTCTCTGTGGCAGAGAATGGGGAAGAGGACCGCTTGCATCTGCCATCCATCCCAGGTCGGAGCGTGTGTGCCCCTGCAGGGCCACCTCGGGCCAAGGCTGTTGCCCCACTGAGATCTCCTCCTCTGCTCCAAGGCCTTGGGCCGGATGTTCTGTCTGAGCCTGGTGTGGTGGGGGAAGGCAGCTACTGCCCCAAGACATGCTAGAGAGAAGAGACAGAACTGTTACTCACTTCTTTTTTGGGACAGCATTTTTACAAGCTTTGCAGAACATCACCTGCAGCTTTTTACATTCTCCTGGGACTTTACCTTCTTTATGATTGTTTATTATATTAAAAAGGTTCTTGATAATGGCTATTATGGAATTATTGTTAATGTTCTTGTGCGTAATATGCTTGTTGTGAAAAATGTCTTTATTCCTTTTTTTTTTTAAAGATTCACCCTGAGCTAACATCTGTTGCCAGTCTTCCTCTTCTTCTTTTTCCTTCCCCAAAGCCCCAGTGCATGGTTGTATATCCTAGTTGTAAGTTCTGGTTCTTCTATGTGAGCTGCCGCCACAACATGGCAACTGTCAGAAGCGTAGTGCGGTTCTGAGACCAGGAAGGGAACCCGGGCCACTGAAGAGGTGAGAGCACTGAACTTTAACCACCAGGCCATCAGGGCTGGCTCAGACGTCTTTATTCTTAAGGAGCGCATGCGGAAGTGTTTATGGGTGATATGTGATAATGTCTACAATTTTCAAACACTTCAGTGACAATATGGGCACATAAACCTAATAACACAAAAATGTTAAGAATTGCTAGGTCTAGGCAGAAAGTATATGGATGTTCATTGCTCTATTCTTTCACCTTTTCTCTATGCTTGAAATTATTCATAATAAAAAACTTGGGATAGATTTGGAGAAGAAAATTCTTGAAACAGAGTTTGTTGACCTGTGTTTCATGGGCTCTGGCGGGAGAGGTGGATGGGTGTCGGGGACCAGGAAGCTTCTAAATTTACATGTAAACTTTTGTGCTGTGTGTGTGTATGTGTGTGTGTGTATGTGTGTGTGTGTGTGTGTGTTTCTTCCCTCTTTGTGGGGAGGGATTTATTGTTTGTGCTTCTCCTCTCATTCTCAAATGAGTCTATGACTGCCCCCCACAAGGTTAAACATCCTTGCTTAAAGCTTGAGATAAATTTGCATGCATTATACTTTTTGTAAATGGATGCAAACAGAGGAGCAGAGTCTGTTGCTTATGTATCATTAGTATTTTGTTGCAAAATTTAAATTAGATTATAAAACTAAATTGGATTCTACTTTCCCATTATCTTCATTACTGGTTTCTTGATTTTTCTTAATTAATTCTTTTCCTATCATAGTTGAATTCTTATACTCTTTTACAAGTTTAAAATATTGGTTGCTAACATGAACAAATCTGTTTTCCTTTGCACTAATTTAAAACTGAAATAATAATTTTGGTATCCCTTTCTAGGTTGTAAAAATAACACAGACTCACTGTATACAACTTGTAAAATACAGAAGTGTATAAAGAAGGAAATAAAATTACCATTAACCCGTGCTCCAGAGGTAACCACTAATAGTATTTTGATGTATTTCTTGCTTTCGGTATTTATGCACCTGTGTGTATGCATATGTATATATGAACAAAGTTGGATAAGACTGAATGTGCAGGTTTATATTATGCAAAAAGAACACTTTAAACTTATGTACTTTTTAATGCTTCCCCAATTTTTATAAAGAAGCATTTAAATGGATTTCTTCTGTCTTTGTATTAAATATGGTTGCTCAAATCCACGTTTTTAGGTTTTAGTGAAGATACCTTTCCCTTGAAATCTATCTCTTCTGAGTACTTACTATCCTCAGTAATATTAATTATGTGAAGTGCCTCACGTTACAATATATTTTGCCCCATTGAGTTGCCCCTCGGAGATGGGTAAGAAAAAATTTTTTTTTGCTTTTTTTGGTGAGGAAGATCGGCCCTGAGCTAACATCTGTTGCCAATCTTCCTCTGTTTTTTCCCTCCCCACAGCCCCAGCACATACTTGTATACCTTAGTTGTAAGTCCTTCTAGTTCTTCTATGTGAGATGCTGTCACAGCATGGCTTGATGAGTGGTGTGTAGGTCTGTGCCCAGAATCTGAACCAGTGAACCCTGGGCCACCGAAGTGGAGTGCGCGAACTTAACCACTTGGCCATGAGGTTGGCCTCAGAAAACATTTTTTTTTAAAGTCCATGCTGGTTATTGAGGATGGAACCAGGACAGAGTTAACCCCAAACTGTTGGAAATCTGGCTGGTTGCAGTTGGGGTGGAGAGATTTGAATAAAACTCTTATTCGTGCTTGCACTGGTATGTGTATACAGGTTTGATATTTGGTGAAATCAGAATAGGGCCAAGAAATCATGCTATGGCTGCCTGCATGAGCCTCCTTCCCAGGGGCCAGGAGGTTGCTGACCTTCTGAGCCGTAGAGACCTCACGGGAGCAGAGGAGAGAAGAGGAGCCCCAAGAGGGAAAGCAGAGTTGATGGGGCCTGGAGAGATGGGCAGTGTGACACTTGTCCTCCTCTGACTTTCCTTGGTGCTTGGTGAGGCCCTCATAAGATTTGATTGGAACCAGAGTTGTTTGTTTACTTACGTTAATATATGGTGTAAAGCACCAACAAAGCATCTTGCACTTAATCGGCAGAAAATGAATCCTATAAGACGGTACCTTCATGGGAGGCATTTGTGTTGTTCAGCAGTAAATTAGAGCATGGGGCTAGGATCCAGACAAACCCTGTGTAGGTTCTTGAGTTTGGCCTTTATTAGCACTATGACTTGAGGAAACTTGGTTAATGCTTCTAAACCCATTTTCTTACCTGTGAAATGGAGCAAGTAATAGTTCCCATCTCATTGGGATATTGAAAGGATTAAGTAAAAACATTCCTGTAGTAGTGGCTGATATTTGTCAGGGGCTGATCTCATTCCTAGAACTGATCTAAGTGCTGTGGCCCTGACCATCTTATTTCATTCTTAGGACTCTGTGAACTGGGTGCTAGCATCCCCATTTTGCAGATAGGGAAACTGAGGCCTAGAGAAGTTGAGTAACATGCCCAAGGTCCCAGAGCCATTAAATCGGAGAACTGAGATGTGAACTGAGGGAGCTGAGTCCTCTCTCTTCTATCTTTACATCCCACTTTGCACAGCACCTCGCCCCTAGCCATCCCCTCATGAGGCGTTTGTGTGACTACACACCTGGGGAAGGCCCGCTGAATGACACCTACAGGATTGTTCTTCCAGGTTGTTAGTTAGAAGGGCGTGAAATGTATTCCTGTTGTGGAAGAGAAAATGTGCTTGTTTAGAAAAGACACCCATTCTGGGAGGCTGATGTTCAATCCTTTGAAACAGGAGCTTTAAAAACTCATGTTGGAATAAGCTTGTGGGAGAAGGGTTGGTCTGGTGAAGATTTCTGCTGTTCCTTCTTCCAATCAGCTGCTGAGTTGGGCTGCCGCCAGACTGATGACTCTTCCCCCGCATGCAAGAGGGTGAAGCAGGAGGGTGTTACCGGGAACCGAGACCTGGACGGGCTTGCAGGGCTGGGCACCCGGCCGAGTCACACCCAAGTGGTGGGCGCTTGCCAGCTTCGGGGCTAAGCTCTTGCCCCTGTGAAGCTGGGCAGGGCGGGCAGCTCCTTGCTTGCTGATTCTCTTGTCTCCCAGGGCAACAGCCTGGAGCAGACTATGGTCACCCGTGGGAATGCTCCTCCTGAGTCAGCGAGGCCTGCAGTGGCCCTGGCCCAGGGTGTGGCTGTGTGTTCCTTTGGGCCCTGCACAGATGGCCTTTATCTCAGAGGATGTCACTGCACCATCACGGGTTAAGGGCTGGAGCTGTAGGACAGAAGCTGCTTGTTTTGAGCCCTGTTAAGTCCCCAGAAAGTATCAACTTTTAGGCCTTTTCATTGGGCTGCTGCTGTATGCATAAAGTGTTTAAGTTGGGGACACTTTAAGTCTGTTAGGAGATCCGTGCACGACCATCAGAAAGAGACCAGAGACCGTGGTTCTAGAATCAACTCTTTTTTCTGATTTGTTGTATAAATTGGGAAGACCACTTTCTCCCCTCTAGGCCTCAGTTTCCCCATCTGGAGAATTAAAATAACCCTGTCCTGCCTGTATCTCTGGATTATGCTGAGAACCAAAGGGGAGGATGAATGTAAAAAGGGTCAGTAAATGGCAGAGTTTTGCCCTAAGGCCAGGAGCCATTTCTTTTCATGCTTTGGATATTACAGCCCTGGCTCCTTCTGGTTGTTCTCCTGTTTGAAGAGTCTGGCCACGGCCAGCCTTAAAGGACTGGCATTTGATTTCATGAAGAGAGGTGGCTGGATTGCTGACCTGAGATGCCAGCAGGGATATGTAAGAAGCGGGAAGAGCTTGGAGAGCCAGTGTTGGAGGCCGTGGGATCCAGGCACCCCCACCCGGTCTGGGAGCCTCCTTCCATTTCTGCCTTCCCTGCACTGGGGTCTCATTTGATTAAGGGGAAATGAAGGTTTCTCCATCAGGGCCCCTCAGTCTTCTGCGGTACTCTTTGGGCACTCTTCTATTTTGGCGGCACACGTTGGGGGTGATCCACCATGATGAACATGTCTTTTAGGATTGTCGTGCTAGATCTTTCTCCATAGAGATAAGCCTTTGAGGTGCTGTGAAGCTCCACTCCCCTCTGGTTTTGCTGGGAGGGGAGATGGCCCACATTTGTCATTCTGGTTTCGGACTAGCCCCCTCTTTCATGTTTCCTGTTCCTTCTTTACTCTGTTTGTTGCTCTTGGCACAAGAATTTGTGTGGATTTGTTCATAACAATTACCCTCTGCCTTGAGAAGCATGTGGAATGTTTTAGGGGTATTTTCACAAAGTCCTGGGCCATATTTTTATGGCTGGAAATTAACCAGAGAACTGCAAAAATATAGGCTTGCTTATTCAGCTTTGCACCCCGAGAATAATTTCTTCTCGCCTCCTACTTCTATATTCTAGATCTTTGGGCCATATGTACTTCTTGGACTGGCTCCTTCCTCTCTACAGGACTTTGGGGTTACTTGTAGCTCCATGTTTTTATTGTCAAGTCTTCTGGTCCTTTTCTCACCTCCCAGCTATCATCATTCTCCTTGATTTCATTTTTTCTCACTTCAGTCCTCACCTCCTCCTCGTGTCCCCTATTTCTTCCATCTTAGAAATCTCTCCTCTTTGAGGTGGAGGTGCCTGTCCACCCCAGTCTTTACCCCTGCTTCCTGGAAGGACTCATAGAGATCATGGATATTGGCTGGGAGCTGAGGTGGGTGGCCTTTAGTTACCTTTGAAATGGCTTTAGCCACTCAGACTACAATTTCTCTTGGGAAATGAATTGACACAATGGAAAACTCCAGCAAACATCCTTTTGCTCAGCCATGGTTGTAAAGTCCTGGTTCATTTCCACGTTTTAATCATTCTTTTCAGACTCTGGCATAAAGACCTGTTTCTGGTGCCTTTTATTTTCTGATTTAAGAAGGTAAAGCCTGGGGAAAACTGAATCTTGAATGTGATTCTACAGAGTTCTGTTTGTTGCTCCATCATTCCCCATTAGCTGGGCATCCACTCAGTGACAGGCATGGGGTAGGCACCGAGGACAAAGGAATTGGTATGATGACTTCCTGCTCCCAGGCACTCGGAATCTAGTCAAGGAGACTCCCCTGTGACACATGGTCAGGGCCAAACAAGGTGACGTGGGCACACCGAGGAGGAAGTCTTGAATTCTGCTTGAGTAGAGATGGCATGGGGCAGTGGTGAAGGCTTTTCAGCTGAAAAGGTGAGATTTCAGATGGTCTTAAAGTACATGATTTTACTAGGGAGACAAGGAATTATGGGCAAGGCTCAGCATTAGGAAAAGCGAGGGATGATGAGAGGAGTGGTATATTTAGGGATCAAGAGCAGCCAGATACAGTGGATGCAGTGGAGGTGGTAGAAATGGAGGAGAGATTGGGGAGTCATCTTAGAGAGCCCTCGTAAAGGGCCTTGGGCACCATATGAAGACGTTTGGACCTTGCTGATGGGAATCATTGCTCTCTACCCCTACTCCATCACCTTGACCTTTCTGTAGGGCTTTCCTGCCCCCAACCCACTATGAGATACTCTGAAAGACCTGCGTGAGTTTGTGTGTTTCCGGCTACAAAATGAAGGACAAACAGAAATAGCCAGAGACCAACTACAAGGAGATGCACTGGAGGATTCTGTGAAAATCCAGATGAGAACTGCAGAGTGTCCATGAATCCAGCAGCCTCTGCCTCACGGACTGCGTGTCAGTACTGCCCCGTCACACCCAGTGACATGCACTTCTCCTGGTACTGGGGCCGCTTCCGGCTTGACTCCTGGCCTCTGCGGTCACCCATCACATCCCTTACCAGCACTCATCCTCTCATTTAGAGTGGCCTGGACTGGGGCCTCATCACCCACACTCAGGCACTCCCCCCTAGGACACGCATGCCAGAGACGTGGCAGGATGGCTGAGGTGTGGCCGCGGGCCCCCGGGGAGGAAATGCATACAGGAACACAGAGGTTGTGTGTGTCTCCAGTGAGTTTGGGTCAGGCTCACCATTTCCTTACTATCAAGCGCAGCCCTTATTGCCGTCCTCGTTTGAGGAAATGGATTCGCATGGGCTAGGGAGGCCTGCCTGCCTTCGTGTGAACTCAGAGGCTTCCTGCTCGCGGCGTGGGATGGCTTCAGACATGTTTCTGCCGGCCTTTTGGCTGCACCTAGGTAGGGTCTCCTATTACCTCACCAGCTGAACATCTCCTGGTGTCATCCTCAGGGGCGCTGGGAGCTCTGGGATCCTCTCCAGCTTCCATCTCCCAGCGAAGAAGGCCTGCAATCCCAAGTCTTCCCTTGACTCTTGGCCTCCAAAGGTTTGGAGCAGCGTTTGCCTGGATGTTCTAGGTGTTTGGCAGACAAAAGATCTCAAAACCTTTGGGAAAACATTGGGTTGAGCGATCCTAAGCAGTTTAATTTACTGCAGGCCTTCTCGAGATCTCTAATTTGCTCTCTCTCTATATATATTTTGCATCTCCCAGAGTGGGTAAGAGTATGAACAGTCCGTTTCTCACACTTATTTGACCAAGGCTCTCCTCATGCCCCACACCTTGCCATTGTAGAGGCTTTTTACCAGGGGAAAAGGAGCTCAACTGATGCCCAGCTTTGTCTGGAGTAGACCCTGAGACAGCTACACTTTATCTCCTAGACTTTGGAGGGACTCATAATTAGGGTCAGCAATGCCCCAGCTTGTCTAGGGCAGTCTCGGCTTATATGCCTTACTCCAGTATAACTCTAATAGACTCCGCCACTTTTACTATCAAAAGTGCCCCAATTTGGGGAATAAACTATTTGGTCATGCTGACTGTATCCCACTGCAGACCCCAGAGCCCAGCCACTTGGCACTTTGGAGCCCAAAGGGCAGTTCATTGTGAGGCTTGCTTCTGCCCATCACAGAGTCTGATGTCCCCTTTTGACTCACCACTTGCTCTCTGACAACCTCTGATATGCCGGTGGGTCCCGAATTCTTTCCCCTTTGCTCAGCCACCATATTTGGCTTGGCGAAATGCCTCACCTTCTCAAAAGTGGTTCTGCAAGGGGGTTGACAGAAAATCAGTGCCCCTAAGAAATGAGACCTTTTGTGTGAGGTGTCCCTTTACAATGCATGCCTTTAGTTGTGGCATTTCTGGACCTCCTGTGCTCGTGCACTTTTGGACTCCGCCTCTGCTGGTCTGCTGCTGAATTGTTGGCCTGTGTCATTCTTTCTCCTCCTCCTCCTGTATCCTTTTTATTCCTGCTACTGGAACATCCACCTTCCTGCTGTCAAAGGCTCTGAAGGAATGTGCGTTAGAAAATATCAAGAAACCACTCTCCTTTAGGGGATGAGAGAAATGAAAGGAAAAATGCCAAGCAAGCCAGCCAGGAACCAAGTAGCTGATGAATTAGGGACATCACAGAATGTATTGAGAGAAATGAAAGAGTTGGAAATTTTCTTGATTCTTTTGAAGGGGCAATTAACAGCCTCTAGGATTTGATGATTTGATTTCAACTTTTATTCATTTTTTTTTTTGGATACGTTTGCTGATAAATTCATTTTCAAAATGTTTGATGTTTGGCTTTCCAAAATTTTTTAGCAGGAGATTCAAAGTGGAAAGATAAGGATTTATTGAAGAAATGCTTTCCTTTTTATTTGACCAAGTAAACAGTGAGAAGCATCTTTAATATTTGCAAAAGCCTCAAAAAAACTTACCAGTTAGAAACACAAAAGGAAATTAGTGACCAAGTATTTGGATCTTTTTTTATCATGAGATGTTTTTGGATTTAAATCCTACATACCTGAGTTTTATCTGGTTGTCAATGTCCCAAGCAATAGGCTTTCCACTATTTCTTCATGGATGGTTTGTTTCACGTTCTTAAAGATGTCTGGGACAGACTCTTAAAACCCTGTCTCTTTCCCAAAAAAAGGTAACTATTTGGTCTTTAAATTTTATCCTTTTAAAAATTGCTCAAGTTATAGACCTTAAAAATTGACTGCCCTATTTTTGGTAACCATTTTGGCATTTTTTTCTTTGCCGCCCCCTGCCCCCGCTCCCAACAACTGCATAGTTGAGCTTTGCCTTCTTTCGAGCATGTGAAGGAAGTATTTTTTGCTCTTAATTCTTTTAAAAGTATGGGGTTATTTGGCTTTAACACTCATCTAGGCTTTTCTTGTATGTGTGTGTTTATAGCAGTTTTTAATTGACCTAAATACCATAGATTTCAGCTCATCTGCCTGTTGTGGGGTCTTCATGATTTTCTCTGACCAAACCAAACGAAAATCAAATCAGAACACACTCTCAAAAATACAACCAAATGGTCTCTCTGCTTCTCAGGAGATAACTGACTAAGATTACTTTCTTCTTGTTTTTTTTTTTTAAATATATACATGCACATAAACATATGCATATATATCAGTATATCAAATTTTGTTTCAAAAAATGCTTCAACTGATTATGTAAATCCTGACTGAAAAATTTAAAAGAAATATTTGTACCTGGACATTAACATCAAACCTTGATTCCACAAGCTCCATCTTATTTTGTTGACTTTATTTTTAAGAAGGAAGGCCATTTAATTAAAAAAACTTCTCCTTTTCTTTCTTTTCTTCCCTGCTCCCCTCCCCCACCCCTGCGATTGTCTCCTAGGACCAGGAAGTTTATATGTAAACAGAAGCCGTAATCAGACCCCTGACCTCCTCTGGGCTTTCAACCCAATGTTTCCACCAAAGGATTAACCCCAAATACCAACTTGCTCTCAGAGGCAAAATGGTTCCCGAGGCGGGCATCACCAAAGGGTTTTCTTCTCTCTAGTCTTTCACATTTACCCTGCAAATAAGGTCTTCTCAAAGGGAGGCTTAAAGGCAGCCATTGGAAAGCAAATTGCCAGGCAGGCTGGAGCCGCGAGGGAGGGATGCTAAGAATTCTCTGGGCTCTCAAGCCTCTTAGCCTGTCCTCCTCTGCCGCCGAGCGCTCATAACCTTCCAGATCCACGGGTGCTATGGGAAAGGGCCAGGTTGCTTGGTTTAATAATACATCGCTCTGTGCCTGAGTGTGTGTGTGTATGTGTGTGTGCACCCATCTTTGGAGTTACACACAGGGAGTCCTGTGGATGGCCAGGCATCTCATAGACGCTGGCAGGGAGGGGGCTGCGGGGGTGGGTGGGGATCAGGATTTCCTTCCCAGGGGAGCCAGGAGCAATAACCCTGGCCTGTTGCACAGAACCACAGCTGTGTGCCTACCTGGGGAACGTTAGCAAATCGTTCCGTTTTATCCTTCGCTGCAGGTCTTAGAATGTCCATCAGGAGGGAACGCTTTGAACCAGGCATCACGCTCTGGGCGGGATTCCAAGTCAGCCCTGAAAACAGTCAGAGCTACCCCGGGTCCCCTCCTGGCTGCGCAGAATGGCTGAAAGAGTGGGTTCTCCCTTCTGCCCGGCCCCCCACCCCGGCTCGGTTCCCCACGTCGTCTGAAGAGCCCGCTCTGAGCCCAGACAGCGACGAGACAAGGCGCTTTTCTTACGGCAGGACATCCTCTCCTCACCCAGACCTCCAAGGATTTCTCATCAGAGAGACAAAGTATCTTTATTTTAAAGGCTCCATGTAGCAGGGCCAGAAGTTTCTTGTGTTATTAAGAAGGGGGTGGGGGAGGGGAAAGGGCCAATGAGGCTACTTACTTAATAGCTCCTAACAGCTGTGGAAAGTTTGATGCAGCAGGAGCACCCGGACAGAAAATTAAAAAACTAATAAAGTCCTCAGTGTGGGGGCGCTGGCATCAGGACAGCTTTACTTCTCCAGACACCTAATAAAGAGACATTCCGGGACACTCACTCATAAGGGGAGTCTGCAGGGGTCACCGGGAACAGTGGAAAGCGAGCCATGGAAACCTAGCAGTCACTCACAGAGCCGTGGGGAAGTTTCGTTTGCTTCTCCTCTTTCCCCCCCCTGCTTTTCTCCATTTTGGAAGAATGGCAGGGTGCTCAGGACCCAAAGAAGGAAAAGGAGGACTGAAAAAAAGAGAAAAAGAGGAGGGGGGCGATTCCAGGAGCCTCGATGTAGAAATCATGCACTTTCATGGAGGGAATGAGCGTGAAGCTGAGGTTGGCAGTTTAGACATAGCAGGACGGGAGGTGATGGTCACCATGCAGGGGCACGTTGAGATCCTGAGGCGGCTGGCTTCTGGAGGTAGCAGAGAAAGGCGGTTTAGAGAAATGAGGTTTTATTCAGCTGGATTTTATGAAGCACCCTCCTCACGAAAGGTTTTCTCGTGTGGGTTTTTCCACTGTCGTTACGAGGTCATTTTGGATCTGAGCTCCTTGGGGTCTGCTAGGTTCTGGGTTGCTGGGTTGGGACTTTTGCTTTAAAGGACATTTATGTTGTTTTGTCTTGGTCCTCAAGTTGGGCTTTGTGTATTTGAAGAAAAAAAATGATGACTTGGGACAACCAAACCATCAGCCAGTTGTGGAGGCATCCACTGAGCTGGTGGGGCCAGTCTTCTCGCCAGCACCAAAGGTAGACTGCAGTGGCCTGCTAACAAAAGGAGAGTAAAGTGGAATGAGTCAGCCAGAGAAAGACAAATACTGTGGGATCTCACTCACATGTGAAATCTAAAAAAATCTAACTCATAGAAACAAAACAGATAGGTGTTTGCCAGAGGCAGGTGGAAGGGGTGTGTGGGTATGTGTGTGACGGGTGGGGTTTGGGGCAGGGGGAGGGATAGGTGGGGAAAAAAGAAAAGCAGGAAGAAAAGACAGTAAAAAGAAAATTGGCTCCATTTTCTAACCTGATGTTCAATTCCGGTCGTGTTTTTGAGACGGGCTCCGGCTAATTCTCACTTTCTGTGTAACGTTCTGGTTGATCTGTAATCTGGAGACCAGCAGCCAAACTGGATCCTCAGGATCACCTCTCCACAGCAGTGGTTACCACCGGCTAATGTTACATTTGCTGAAGAAGAATACAGTTTCTATTGCGCAAATTTGTGAAATGGCTTTTGCCCACTGGCCTCGAGGAGGTCCTTGCACAAATTTCCCAAGTGCTCCTGGTGTGATGGAAAGAGAACCGGAGACAAGGCACCTGGGCCCAATTCCAGCCGCCTGTGCCACTCACGGGCATGGAGGGGTTGAGCAATCACTTGTCCGTGTGGGCCTCAGTTTCTTGTTCTGTAGGATGAAGGGATGGGCAATGACTTCTAAGGCCCCTTCCCGCTCCCGCACGCTGTGGTTCCGTGAGGTTGCAAGGTTGGTCTCTGTATTGATGTTCCTGGCTCTCCTGTGTCAGAAAGTGTTTTCCTTCTGGCTTTTCCTTTGGTTGTGGCTTGGCAGAGGCCGAGCTGCAGCCGTTGGGTGTGATGGGGGAGACTTCTGTGGTTATGTGAGTAAAATGAAATACAGGCTTTTGAACTTCTCAAGTGCAGAAACCCTTTCTTGGTCTTTTCTGTTTCTTTGGGCTTTTTCTTTAAAATAAGAAAAAAAAAGATTTTTCTCCCATGAGAACAGTTCCACGTTTAAGAAAAGAAAAATGGTGCCATTGGGGTGGGCATGGAGTGGCTTGTGGTAGGTAGATCTCTCTGAGGGGGTCCTGGGAAGTTCTGATTTATACTGGAAGGATCTAGAGCTTCTCAAATTTCAAAGTGCAGAAGGATCACTGAGGGTCTTGTTAAATCCAGATTCTGATTGAATAGTGTGGGGTGGGGCCCGGGATTCTGCATTTCCAATGAGCTCCCAGGTGATGCTGCCTATGCTGGCCCATGGGCTACACTTTTAGTAAGAAGGCTAGATGATCCCAACTTAGGCCTCCCTGAGGCTGGCCCAGAGAGCAGCAGGAGCTCACAGGCTGGGGACATTGCAACCAGGCCCGCCATCCTGGGGTTCTTTAGGTGTCTAGGTTCAGTTTATGCCCAGAATGAACCTGCAAGGTCAGCTCTTAACATAGGGAGTCCTATCCCTCCGGAAGGTGGGTCTGTCACAGTCTGGCTGGCAATCAGTCTTATGTAGGTTCTCCCTTTTGCCATCTGATACTTCAGTGTTTTTCTTTCTCTTTCTCTCTCTTTCTCTGTTTCCAGCATTGGGAGAAGAAAAATTGGGCAGTGGGGGTAAGAAAGGATAACGCATCAATTAGTTAGAGAGCTACAGTATAGAATTAAATGAGCCCCATACTCTGGCTCATGAACAACATTATATTAGCAAGCCTAGAACTGGTGTTGGTTTTAGCTAAATAAAGAAATCTAAATCATTTAATACACCTTTCCTAATTGAGCCGCACACCAGGGGCACCTTCCTAATGGCATTATGGCACCAATTACCTCATTAGGAGAGACGAGCTGCTTTTATGACAGGTTTTGGAAATTAAAATGTTAGAGGGGTGTCCTTCAAGAGGACTAATTCTGGGCTGGGCTGAGCTGAGCAATGAGCAGGGGTCAGAAGGGTGCATGGGGGCCCGGGGACTGAAGGCCGGACGGTGATCCCTGTTTGGTTTGACCCCTGGCTTGGGGCTGAGATCTGGATTCACTCTTCATGTGCTGTTTCGTCAAGTATGTAAACTCCAGCGGCTCTTGCACTTGAGTTTGTGTAAGATCCACTGGGAAGGCTTGTTAGGAATTCAGGTTCCAGGGCCCCACCCTGAGATTCTGACCCAAGAAGGCTGGGCTAGGCTCCAGCCAAACCATACTTCTAACAAGGTCCCTGGGCAGCTTTCTTGCAGGAAGCTCACAGACACTATCTCTTTGTAGAAATCAGTAGAGAGGCTCCTAGTGACTTCACCCAAAACTCAGCAAAGTATATGCAGGTTCCTCCATCACCAGGGGTTTTCATCTTACGAAAGAACAGACCAAATGAGATTTATGTGGATTTGCTTCTTTAGACACTCACAGCTAATTTTCTCTCTTTCTGTCCAGCGTGCTTTGGTTGGTTTGTGTGGTTGAGTACTAGGGAGACTGGGTTTAACTATTATCTTGGATGCTTATGTGCTGTGTGACACTGGGCAGGTCATTGTGCCCTGGGGGCTACAGTCTCCTCAACTCACAATGGGCACAGTCATGTGGGAATTGTAAAGTGCAAGGAAGTATTATTGGTCGAGACACTGTCTTTTGGCAACTCAGTTTCCTTCGCTGTAAAATGAGAGTGTTGCACCTAAGTATGAATTTGATTAGTCTAGGTAGCAAGTGGCTTCTCTTTCTGGCAGCTTTTCATGTTTTCTTTCCCTGTAGTAACAAGAACTTCAACCTCCAGATTTTGTGTAAATATTGAATTTATAGCAATGGTTTTGTAGAGTGTTCCAGTTTCCCGGGTTGATGATTAATGTGGCTTTCTCAGAGTGCACTGTGCCTTCTCAAAAGGCCTTGCCTGAGAGTCCTGTGAACTTCACGGTGGCTGAGTGTTGTTTCTGCTCTTCTCTCTATTGTCATGTGGAAGAGGGAGCAGATGCAGTCTGTGTGACCCCAGAGGGCAGAAGCAGCATCAGCTGATAGACATGTAGGGAGGTGAAATTAGGCTTAAAAATTAGAATTTCCTGATAATTAGAATGACTTCTCCGATCTAAAACTTTGCTCGCTTTACATTGCCTACCATGTCATGCACAAACTTCTCTTGTTTGGCTTTCAATGTCTCCATCACTTGGCTTTCACAGGCTTTTTCAATCCTCTGTCCTCTCCCTAATTACTTGAATTGTGGGCTTTAACTCACTTTTGTGATGGTCACTCTCCAAGCCATATTTCCAACCCAGATCCTGTTCTGCATTTCCAACAGCCTGCAAAGCATCTCCAGTGAGCTGTCTCATCATTACTGCAAATTCAAAATGTCCTCACGGGCACCCATCAAATTCCCCTTAACCTTGCCACTCTTCCCATCTCCCTCATTTATGTTTGTGGAAGTATGATCTAGCCTCAGGGAATGAAAACTAACTTGGAAGATCCCAAACCTTCTCATTCTAGCATCTGATCATTTACTAGGACCCATTGTTTTGAAATATCTCACAGTTTAATAGTTACAAGAAATCTTATAGCCCATACTATTTCTTCTTCCTCCAAATCCACAGTGAAACCTGTCTAGGTTTTATAGCTCCTGGGTCTGGTTAGATCTCCTGTGTAGAGGAGAATCGTTTGTTAGCAATACATGTGCAAATGAGGTTTGTAGACAGCATAAGCCAAGTGTAAATCTACAGTATGGGGATGCCAAAGAAACTCACATACAGCATGCTTTATTAAGAAAAATACAGCCTCTAAAATGAGCAAAGTTATTGTCCTGACCAACTTGGCATTGACTGAAATACTCTTGGAGTGCTTCTTAACTTACTAGTATAGTGTTGTATGTGTATTACTTTTCTGAGCTGTCAAAGATGTTGGCTAAAAGTCTCCCATTACTATTATATTTCTATTGATTTTCCCCTGAATGTCTAAGAATTCTTGCTTTATTTTTATTCTATATTATGTGGCATAAAAGGGTTTATGACAGTTATGTTTTCTTTATGGGTTGTTCACTTTGTCAATATTTATTTATCTAAATTTCACTTAAGCTTTTTGCTTTCAATTCTACTTTGATAAAAATATTGTGATCCTGATTTCTTTATAGATTGTGTGTCTGTGTGTATAATATATTTGCTAGTTTATCATTCCTTATTCTTATACTTTTTTTTCTTTGTTTTAAGTACCTATCTTGGGATAGCATGGGTTTAGTTTTTCAAATATGAGAATTTAAGCCATTTACATTTATTATCATGGTTACTATGTTAGTTGTTACTTCAGTCAAGTTGCTTATGTTTCTGTTTTTTAAAATGTTTTATTGTTCTTTACTTAAAATTGTCTTTTGCTGGGGCTGGCCCCGTGGCCGAGTGGTTAAGTTCGCGTGCTCCACTGCAGGTGGCCCAGTGTTTCGTTGGTTTGAATCCTGGGCGCGGACATGGTACTGCTCATCAGGCCATGCTGAGGCAGTGTCCCACATGCCACAACTAGAAGGACCCACAACGAAGAATATACAACTATGTACTGGGGGACTTTGGGGAGAAAAAGGAAAAAAAATAAAATCTTTAAAAAAAATTGTCTTTTGCTATGTTGTTTGTATTTTCTTTTTTTTCACTACTGATGTGGAATGTGTAAGTCCTGTTTTTAAATTCTATTTGGATTGCCTTGAAAATTTTAAAAATATATGAACCTATATTTTCCTAATTATTGATTTAAAGAAGTGGTACATATTGGTTGTCTCCCTTGTAAGGTTAAGAAATAAACACACTTTTATTTCTTCCTTCTTCCCTATTTCACTCAGTTGCCTATTTTATTTATTTAATCTGGGATTTTAGACTCAAATATTACTTTTTTGCCTCAACATTTTGTTTTATGAAAATTTTCAAACCTACAGAAAAGTGGAAAGAATTTTACAGTGAACACCCATGTATCCACCATCTAGTTTCCACTAATGTCATTTTACCTTGCTTGCATTATCATGTATCTATCTAGTCTTCATCCATCCATCAGCCCATCTTTTAATCAATGCATTTCAAAATAAATAGAAGATATCACTGTGCTCCTCCCTAAATACTTCAGCACAAATATCATTATCTAGAGTTTAATAATTGCTTGCAGTTTTCTTTTTCCTTTGACATAAAATTTACAAACAATGAAATGCACAAATCTTATGTGTATTTTCATTGAATTTTGACAAATGTATACCAGGTGTTATTTTTTAACATTATTTTCTCTTTCAATAATTATTGTTTTGTATTTAAAGACTATTTTACAATCACACTTTAAAAATTATTTAGGTGACATATAATTGATTTTGGTAATCACTATGAGTCCCATTTCATCAGAACTTCCCCAATCATTATTTTGATTCATCTCTCAGTTGGTTGGGGTATAATTTAAGTACTTTGTTCAAGAAGAATGTGAGTGATATTCTTTAGTAGTCTCTGAGTAGCTGAAACTTTTCTTCTATTTTCTTAAGACATGAAAGACAACTTGGATGAGATTAGAATTCTTGTCTGACAATATTTTGCACTCAAAACTAGATGTTCTCTATTGTCATCAGATATTTAATGTTATAGAGCTATTTGAAGTGAGCCTGAATGTATTTTTCACCTAGATAATTATAAAATCATTTTATTGTTCTTGAGGTTGACTATATCCAGTAGTCTTTGAGGTAATTATTATGAGTACTCTTGAGATCCTCTGATCTGCCAACATACATTTTTATTGTTATGTCAGAGGTTGGTAGTGGTCCCCCCAAATCCACATTTTCCTTCCTAGTAACATAATTCTTGATTTTCATATGGACACATAGCTGCTTGGAATAAAAATGATATTTCCCAGACTCCCTTGAAGCTTATTGTTGCAATTCCATCATAGGCTGCCCACTCTGAGCCTTATGAATATGTCAGTTCAGGAAAGTTTTCTTCATTTATGTTTTTGGTTATTTTGTTTATTTTATTTATTCTCTTCTCTTTTGTTTTTTTCCAGGAACATCTCTTATCTACATTTTCTGTATTATCTGTTCTTCAAATCCAACAATTTTTCTCTCATTATTTTTAATCACTTTGTCTTTTTCCTCCTCATTCATGGCAGTTTTTCAAGTTTCTCATCTGTACCTCTGGTTGTGACTTTTTGCAATGCCTCTTCCTCTCTCTATTGCTTTTAATGAAAATTTTAATTAGCTGTTGCTTTTTTGTTCCCTTAACTCTCTTGCAAATTTTGCCTCCGCTGGGCCAGCATCCTCTTCATTGCTGCCTCTGACCCGCCAAACTTCACAATCGAAAGGGCGGCCAGTCATGTTTGGTGGGGATCTTAGTCTCCCTGCCGCTTACCTCCTGTAACCACTGCTGTTTCTCAGGAGGCCAAGCTGCAAGGTGGCCTTCGATGTCTCCTCCCCCTGCTCCTATCTGCACCATTGTTGAGCAGGATGACACCAAACTTTCCACCACGTGGAAGGCACACTGTCTTGTACCTGTCCTCCTTCCCCCCATTGCTTTTTCTTTTTCACTCTTCTTCAGGTTATTTCAGAGGGGATCTGGTGTAGAAGAAGTTAAACATTAACTCCAATGCCTTTTTACCCAGGAGTCTGTGAAAGACATGCTTTAAGGTTTCTCATATTGTGTGAGTGTATATTGTATGCTATAAATTTATTTTAAAAAAACCCAAGTCTTTGTAGGCAGGGGGGTAAAGGTATAAGAGAACAGAATTTGGAGTTAGTAGACCAAGGCTTGAGCCCCGATTCAGCCACTTATGATCACCACATGATCCTGCTCATCTGCTCTTCAGTTTACTCATCTGTACAATGAGCCGAACACCTTGGACTGAATGAAGCAAGTATTTGAAAGCATTTTTAAGTTCTTAAAAGCTGAAAAAAGATAAGAAATGGCAATAATTCTTTTGATGTTCTTTCTCTTTTTGCCTCTCATAGGCTGGGCCCATGGTATGGAAGGTATCAATAAATCCTTGTCGGTGACTTACTTGGAATGAATGTCCAGAAAATGCTCAAGAATATCTAAGGATCCAAAAAGGAGCGACAGAATAATTGAATATATAATTACTGCTTTCTTTGATATCTATGTTTACAAGCTTTCTTTGAACTGGTGGTATTATCTGCCTAGAAAGTACCAGAGTTTATTAACCATTTTCACATTTTCTCTCTGACTCCTCCGTCTAACCCTCACTATCCATTCCCCCAACACTCAAAATTTATTGTAAAAAGGTGTCCTTTGAAAGGCTTTTTAAAAGAAATGTGATTATCTACAGCTCAGTGTCACTTTTAAAGTTGTCCCTTGATACTTTCTGGAGGCTGCAAAATATATTTAATTTCCAAACATTCTTGAAAGTCATCCAATAAATTCAGGCAGGGAGGGAATGGCCAGGGTACAGGGTGTGCGAGGGACCGCACTGTGAGTTGGCCGGTATCATTTATTATAAGCAATCCGGCAGGTGCGTAAATAACTCCTACCAGGAGGTTTTCCGCTCAGCTTCCCAAAATGGCTCCATTTCAACATCCAGCAGTGACGCTGTATTCTCAGAATTGGATTAGCCAAGGCCTGGGCAAGGTAAAATCCACTGGAATGAACCAAAGGAAAGGTTTGCTCCTACATCAACAGCATGAGTATGAAATAGACTTTTGTTTATTAAAAATGGTAGGATTCATCACCTAATTGAAAAATCCAATTCTTTGAAGGGCAGATGTACATTTCATATTATATGGTTCAGTCCTATAGATTTAGGTTTTGAGCACTTATTAAGTCTAAGACATCGTGCTGGGTGCCATGGAGGATAAAGAGATAAGCAAGACCTGGCCTTGGCTTTGGGAGTTCACACACTTGTTGGGAGGCAGACGTATATATCATCTTATCACAGGAGAGATTGAAAAATTAGAAACGCAAGCAAAATGCTGTTGGGTTAGAGAGGAAAACTTGGAGATGTCTCTTGGTTGAGGAGGAATTCAAACTAGGCATTCTTCCATTCATTTATTACTCAGACAATTGTGGAATGCCAAACTGGTTTCATACACTATACCATGAACACTCAGAGAGGGCCAATTGTAGTTGTTTAATTATTTACAGAAGAATAAAGTTCAACAGGCAGAAAAGGGAAGGGAGGGCATTCCAGGGAGTAGGAATTGAGTTGAGGCCTTGAGGCTGCATGGCATGCCCAAGAAACAGGGAGGACACAGGTGTGGCTCTGACCCAGGAGGTGTGTGTGCGAGTGGGGGATGGTGGGGGCTGGAGTGAAGGTAAAGATGGAAGATAATCAGAGCAAAACTGCAGAGGGCTCTGAATACCCAGGAAAGGAAAAATAAATTGTACTTTTATTTATTTATTTAGTTTTTTTTTAGATCACATTTTTATGAGTCATTCTAAGTTTACCAAGATTGCTCCCTTTTAGGTGTAACAGTTGGAAGTGCACTAGCTTGGAATCAGACTAAACTTTGAATCTGAGCTGTACCATTTGCCAGATGAATAACTTTGGACAAGTGTCACCTAACCGTTCTGATGCTCAGTTTTCTCATCTGCGAAAATAGGGTTTGTGCAGATTAAGTTAGAAGAGATAGGTGAGGGCGCCAAGGACATTGCCCCCCTTCAGTGGATACTCAGTAAATGTTAGCTGCTTCTCCTTCTTTCCCTTCCCTTCCCTCTTCTCTTCTCCGTTTCCCACAGGAGGGCTTTGATGAAGAATACATTTCAGTAACATCGCTGAGTCCTCAAGCTTGGTTGCTAATTTTTTTCTCAACTTTATCCCAGTGGTTCTCAAACCTGAGCAGGTGTCAGAATCTTCTGGAGGGCTTGGTTAGAAGACAGAGTGCTGGGCCCCACCCAGAGTTTCTGATTCAGGAGGTCTGCTGGGGCCCGAGAATCTGCATTTCTAACAAGTTCCCAGATGCTGCTGATGTGGGAACCACACTCTGGGGACTGCTGCTTTATCTTGTTTTGCCCTGGGGCAGACCCTGTTGGTTGCTTACCCAGCAGCCATCCCCTCTTGGCTGCTGACAGAGCCCTGACTTGTTTTGGTGGCACAGAAAGATTCTTTGCTTTCAGAGTTAGGTCTCTATCTCAGTGCCTGAAGATGATGACGATGGGTCTAGACCAGTCATGGCAATCCCAGTCCCCTTGCCCATTGGTTGGTCTGAAGGTAGGCAAGTGCCCCACAGTGTCTAAAGAGATGTGAGGGTGAATCTGCTGACAAAGACTCACAAGGGCAAGGGCTTTGTCCCTTGCCTCTTCTTCCTGAATGTGTACATATTGCTCAAGTTACAGTAGCCATCTTGTGACCAAGAGATGATGAGCATGAGGAAGAGAACCACCATGGCAAGGATGTTAGGGCAGAAATACAGAAAGAACCTGGATCCCCAA